ATTTACCCCAAAGATACAAATATAGTGATCCGAAGGGGTACGTGCACCCCAGTGTTTATAGCAGCAATGTCCACAATAGCCAAACTATGGAAAGAGCCTAGATGTCCAACAGATGAATGGATAAAGATGATGTGGTGTGTACACACACACACACAGACACACACACACACAGGAATATTATGCAACCATCAAAAAAACCCAAAAAACAACAAAATCTTGCCATTTGCAACAATGTCGATGGAACTAGAGGGTATTATGCTAAGCGAAATAAGTCAATCAGAGAAAGACAAGTATCATATGATCTCACTGATACGAGGAATTCTTAATCTCAGGAAACAAACTGAGGGTTGCTGGAGGGGTGGGGGGGTGCGGGATATGGGGTGGCTGGTGATAGACATTGGGGAAGGTACGTGCTATGGTGAGCGCTGTGAATTGTGTAAGACTGATGAATCACAGACCTTTACCTCTGAAACAAATAATACATTATATGTTTAAAAAAAAAAAAAGAGGTAGTAGGAAGGGAAAAATGAAGGGGGGTAAATCAGAGAGGGAGACAAACCATGAGAGACTCTGGACTCCAGGAAACAAACTGAGGGTTACAGAAGGGAGGGGGGTGGGGGGATGGGTTAGCCTGGTGATGGGTATTAAAGATGAAGCGTGAGATGTTTCCCATCCTTTCTCTTTGAGTCAAACCTGCCATATATTGCACTGTATTTTCGAATTTCCTCCTCTTTGTGTGGATCATCATCACTCATCTCAAAGATGTGACCAATCATTTTGGCCAACTTCTTGTTGGTTTTTAGCAGCTCTTTCACTTCATGCAAGTCACTTTTCGGCAGTGTGGGGGCCATCCGCTCCACACACTCGGCCACAGAGAGCGCGGCGGCGGCATCCAGCGCCTCGCTGCTTTCTCTCGGGGAAGCTGGGGAGCCCAGGTCGGCTGGGGAGAGGCTGTGCTCGCTCTCGGTGGCATGGTGGCCTTGCCAGAGTCTGGACTCGGCGACACCGTGCAGCACTAAGCTCCCCACCACATCGGATTTCCCCTGTCCCAGGCTCTGCACACAGGTGGTGGCAGCGCACTTGGGGATTTTTAAATGAGGTTCCCGGGCATTGCTATTCCTTTCGTAACTGCTGCAGGATATTCCCAGCCACGTTGGTGACCCCTCTGGTAACTTATAGATGGGTATGCTACTGACAGGCAGGGAAGTCAGCGGCTGATTGAAAAGGCCGGGGTTTGTAACCCAGTCTCTCAAAGCCTTCTGTAGCCTTCGAACATGAAGGGGTTTGCTAGCCATGCCCACAAGTGCCATGATTTCCAAGAATTCCTCTTCTCCGGCTTCACAGAGTTGCTGCACATCATCGCCACCTTGTTGAATAAAGGCATCAAAGTAAGAAAGCAGATTGGCTTTTTGTAATATTCTATACAGCTGCAACTCCCCCAGGGTCCTGGGTAAGGCCGCGGCCATTACTGTGGATGGACTTAACCTGCAAGAAGAAGAGAGGAAACACTCATCACACTTGCTCCAAAATTCTTACACCTCCTTGTCAGACACTACAGGATTCACAAATGCAGTACGGGAAGAACAAAAACAAGGCGCATCTGCAAAGCAGCTGTTAAGGAAGCATTCCCCCTCCACAAAAGTTATCTCATTTTCTTCTTCTACCAGTCCTAGTGGTCAGTATAATTGTTTCCATTTTAAAGTGAAAAATATAAAGAATATAAGTAATTTGCCTGAAATCTCACAACTGGTTAAGCAGAAGTCTAAGGACTCAAACGAAGGCTCTCAAAGGGCTCTACATCCCGTATTTTTGACTATTCACTTTACTGCTTGCTTCCACGGTATGGAAGGTGAAGCCAAGAATAATCATATTCAGAAGGAGGTAATAAGTATTTTATGCTACCATCTGCTGGATACTTATTTTGCATCAGACAACATGATAAACACTTTACATCTACAGATGGCCCCCAACTTACAGGTTCAACTTAATGCTTTTTCAACTTTATGATGGTGTGAAAGCCACATGCATTGAGTAGAAACCATACCATTTTGAATTGTGATCTTCTCCTGGGCTAGTGATACTCGTGATGCCAGGTAACAAGAATGAGCCAAAGCTCCCAGTCAGCCTCACAACTGAGGATAACCACCGATGTGCTTACAATCATTCCATA